TACTCAGACTAACACACTGGGTTAATAGTTTCTTAGGGGGGTGGAGGAAATAGGAAGCTAATAATAATGATTACAGAATGAAGACAATGCTCTAAAACTGATTATGGTGATGGTTGCACAACTCTTTTCCACATATTTAAACCATTGAATTATATAGTGTGTGAATTATATGTCAATAAAACTATTAAAGTTAAAAAAAGAAAAGAAAAGAAACCAAAAGGCATATCAACAAGGCAAATCTGCACATGACGTCTTTAAAGTGATAAAGAGGATTAAGGTGTGCCTGACCTAAGCCTTGGTATTTTCAATCACTTCATATGCACATGACTGCTGGGCAGTGAATAAGGAAGAACTGATGCATCTGAATTATGTGCCGACAAAGAAAACTGAAAGCACAAGCACCATGGATGGCTAGAACCACAGACAACTGTTTTGGAGAAGTATAGCCAGAACGCTCTGTAAAAGCTAGAACGGCTCCATTCCACATACTATGGACACGCTGTCAGGCGTGGGAGACCATCCCCAGAAAAGGTTATGACGCTTGATAAGGTAGGGGTCAGGGAAACAAGGAAGATGGACTGACAGAGTGACTGCCACAATGGACTCCAGGGTAACAAGCACGAGGATCGAACAGGACCAGACAGTGTTCTGTTTTGCTATACGTGGGGCTGCTGTGAGTCAGAGCCAAAATCACAATATCTATTCACCTGCAACTTAAGGACTACTTGACAAGAAAAAGTATCTTAAAATATGGGCAAAATTATGACAGCTTACTTAATTACTTTGTGTACACAAATTAAAAGGTCATTTTGTTTACCTCTGGAAAGCTTTGTTCCAAAATGCATGATCATTAGTGACTTACCTTGTCCATTTCCACTATTGACAACATCAGCCAGACACAAGCAGCCTTGATCAAATTCTTCTTTTTCTCCCAAAACTGTAGACCACCAGTCACGGGCTTTAAATAAAGACATGTTCTTTCACTCTAAAAAGAAAACATTCATTTATAATAAAAATCTATTTAACACCATGAATTAATTCATTCTTAAAGCACAGTGAATAATTAATTGGACCTCTTTGAGAAGCGCAATTCTGTATTGATTTAAAATATTTGAGAGCAATTCTGTTTGATTTAACATACGAGGGGGCTTCAGAAAGTTTGTGGGAAAATGGAATTAAAAGATAGGGAAATTGTTCCATGAGCTTTTTGAAGGCCTCTCCTAAGCAAAAACTACAAATCCAAAAGGTTGGATTACACCCTGGATCGTTAACCACAAAGTTAACAGCTCCAAACCAATGCCCATTCTGAGAGAGAAAGATGAGGCTTTCTACTCCCATTCTACTCCGTCCTACAGGGTCACTATGAGTCGGAATTAACTCTAGGGAAATGAAGTTGTTGGTTGGTTGGTTGGTTGGTTGGTTGGTTGGTTGGTTGGTTGGTTGCTTGGTTGTGAACAGCAGGTGTCAACATGGGTAAGTATAAATGTCAAGGTCACTTGCTTTACTACCAAAGTGGCCAAAGAATTAGACAAGCAAATGTGATGGTAAGAAGTTCAGGCTCTGCTTTGAGACTGGCGGATCCCTGACCGATTGCCCGGAGGAGATCTTGAGCCCTTAAACTAACGCCATCCCTGGAATTCATCTTTAAGCCAAAGCATCGTTCGGCTCAGAAAGAAATGTCTGCATTGACCATTGTTCTTTTATAGAACTATTTATATGCCACCAACTAAAGGACAGCAACTCTAAAGGTTGACGAGGAATTAAGTGGCAGTGTTTGAATGATTCAAAACAATTCAAGAAAAGATATCAAGAAAGGTGGCACAAGATCTTTTTTAAAACAAGTTTTTTTTTTTAATTGGGGGGGGATTTTACAGTTCAGATCAATAACTTTGCAATCAACAGTCCAAACCACGAATCAAACCCTCCAATAGTCTACCCCCACCTGCTCTCTTCTCCCCTTCCCCGCTCCCTACGCACCACCATCCTCCCTTTCACCGTGGGAACACCCATCAAGAATCCAGCTCGCTAGTCCATCCTCCCTCTCCTGCCCTCCCCTACTTGGCAACCTCCAAAATCTATCCCCTTTGGTATAAACTCTTCATCTTGGTTTTGCTTGTTTTTCACCCCCAAGAATACAACCAATGTCACTGAGTTGTACAGGAGGTTTCAAAGCGTTCAGGGACATATAAGATCATGGCATTTTCCACCAATTTTTTTAAGCCCCCCATGTACGTGTAGAAATTGTCGGCTTGATGTATGTTTTGCTGTGTCCCTCTACCACAAAAATTTAATAAAATGGACAGGCTTAGGAGTGAGCTTTTTTTCCTTTTATCATTTTATTGAGGGCTCATACAACTCTTATCACAATCCATTGTGTCAAGCACATCTGTACATTTGTTGCCATCATCATTCTCCAAACATTTGCTTTCTATTTGAGTCAGGGGTGCGCTTTTTGACACCACAAACTATCCACAACCAACAGCGTTACTAAAAGTCACTAAAACCTCTCTACAGCAGCTTCCTTATGCATAAAATGCAAATAAGGAAGGATTTGTGAGGATTAAATAACAGTGCAGAACAGAACTTCATGCCTGGCCCTTAAATCCAGAACCAAACTCACTACCCTCGAGCTGATTCCAGCTCATCCCGATCCCACTGGACAGAGTCAACCTGGCTCTTTGCATTTCTGAGACTTTACATCTTTATGGGAAAAGGCAGCCTCATCTTTCTCCTACAGAGTAGCCAACCGGTATGTTCAAAACACTGACTTTGTAAGTGCATACATAGCCCCCTACACCTGCACCAGGCCTGCTAAATGTTACTCATTGTTACCGTCCTTGGGGTTCTTGGTGTGGTGGTTTTTTTAAATCATTTTATTGTGGGCTCTTACAGCTATTATCACAATACATGCATACATCCATTGTGTCTAGCACATTTGTACATATTGCCATTACCATTTTCAAAGCATTTTCTTTCTTTTTGAGCCCTTGATATCAGTTCCTTATTTTTTCCTTCCCACCTTTACCCCACCATCATAAACCCTTGATAATGTATCTTTTTTTTTTCATGTCTTACACTGACCACAGTCTCTCTTCACCCACTTTTCTGTTGTTCATCCCCCTGGGAGGGGGTTATATGTAGATCATTGTGATAGGTTCCCTCTCTCTCCCTCCACCTTCCCTTTACCCTCCCGGTATCGCTACTCTCATTATTGGTCCTGAGGGGTTTTTCTGTCCTGGATTCCCTGTGTTGCGAGCTCTTATTTGAACCAGTATACATGCTCTGATCTAGCTGGATTTATAAGGTAGCTGGATTTATAAGGAATTGGAGATATGATAGTGGGGTGCAGGGGAGGATCCTTAAAGAACTAGAGGAAAGTTATATGTTTCATTGGTGCTATACTGCACCCTGACTGGCTTGTCTCTTCCTTGTGACCCTTCTGTGAGGGGATGTCCAATTGTCTACAGATGGACTTTGGGTCTCTTTTTATGATTGGTGGAAATAAAAACCTATCTTCAGGGAACACCCTGTATCCTTCAATATGTAAATGGTTAAACGAATTGTCATACATTCATACCATGGACTACAACCCAGTAAATTTTTTTAATTACATATTGATATAACTTAGTTAATTCTTAAGGGCATCATGTTTTGTGAAGACAAAAAAAAAATCCAATTCCAAAAGTTCCAAAAAGTCAGCTATTACATAATTCCATTATTAAAATATTCTAAAGGATTATACTAATACAGAACAAAACATTGGTTGCCGAGGTGATGATTGGGAAGGCATGACAATACAGAGATACTAAGAAGCTTCTTTGGAGTTATTCTGTCTCCCAACTCTGGTGGTGATTTCATAGGACTACACTGAATTTCTTAGAACTCTATACTAAAAAGGAAAATCATTTTTACTGCTGTAAAAATCTGGTAAAATCCAAATTTCAACTATGATGGGTGAAATCCATTGCACCACCTGGGCTTCCTCAGGTATCCTGAATACGGAAAAGCCAAGATCTGCCCACGTGGTCATAACTAGTCAGTGTGGAGGTGGCAACCAAGCCTAGACTATCTACACCCAGACCCTACCCAAAGGAGCTCTGCATCCACCCAACACAGACTACAAAACCTATCATTGGCAATACAAATTCTAATTTCTATTGAAGTTCAAATTGTAAGGAAGTACTTCGTGTATTTAATTATCTCTTTCTAGAGAATGATTAGAAAGCAAGAAGAAAAGTTTTAACAAATGCATTCTTATAAACAGCCATGAAAAATCCATTTCTAATGCCTTATTAAATGGGACATGATCTCTATATCCTCTACCCTCTAGAAATTGTCCTGACACTTGTTACTTGACACTTTTTTTGTTTCTAATAGTTATATGTTATGTTATATATGTATGTTATTTTATATGCATGTCATTATATATTATGTTACATATATCCTGTTTTTAATGTTATTTTTCATATCAATTTTACTCAAATTTAGCTTGGACTTAAGAAATGAATATTTTTAATATCCCATTGGTCTAGATCTATGAGATAGAAGGATAAGTAAAAGAATGTTTATGGCAATGTTAACCCCAAAGAATCCTGTGGGTGTGTGAGTTTCAAAGCAGATCCAGATATAGAAGGACAAGATCCTGAAGCTGATAATGCCCACATTTAGAGTTCTGCTTTCTCCAGGTTATGCTAGTACTACATCAAATTTAGGAGAGGAGGAGCCTGGGCTTAGAGAAGAAGACACATGCGTGTAGAATCAGAATAATGCTGCTTTGGGAGGCAACAGTAAGAATTCGGTGTTAGACTTCTCTATTTAAAAATACAAGTGGCAACTGAGTATTTTGAACAAAGACTAGGGGAAGAATACAGAAAAGAATTTCAGATTCTCATGGCCTCTAGACTTTCTAGAGCCATAAAGGGTGAGTGAACCCTTGAAAGTATTGTGCTGAGATCATTTTGAAACTTTAAACCAAAAATAGCTCCTAAAGTCTTCTTAAAGCCCAACAAGAGTTAAATGAGTAAATAAATAAATAAAATGTCTTGAGCATTATACTATTTTAAGAACTATCTCTATGGGATCAAATTGACAATCCACTAATAAAACTCACTGTCATTCAGTCAATTCTTACTCATAGCAACCCTACAGGACAGGATAGAGCTCCCTCTGTGGGTTTCTGAGACTGAAACTCTTCACGGGAATGGAAAGCCTCATCTCTCTCCTACGGAGCGGCTGGTGGTTTTGAACTGCTGAGCTTGTGGTCTGCAGCCCAACTTGGAACTCACTGTACCACTTAAAAAGATTAGAAAAGAATCTAAGGGCGGCATGAGTTTATATTAACATTGGAGGAACAACTCAAAAAAGGAGGGTCCAAATGATTGCGTAACTCAAATAATGTAATCAATATCACTAAAGCAAACATATAAAATGCAGAACTGGCGTATGGTTTGATGTGTACATTCTAAAATCAAACAAATGAAAGGCAAAAGCAGGCAGGGGCTAGAGTCCAGACAGACTTGCATTCACTTTCTGAACCAAGGCTCCAGCCACGTGACCGTAGACAAATTCCCCTTCTCGAGGTTAAGAGGATTAAAAGATTTCATGCCCAAGGTCTGCAGTTCCAAATCACCAGCTGGTCTGAGGAAGGAAGGTGAGGCTTTCTACTCCTGTAAAGAGTTACAGTCTTGGAAACCTACAGAGGCAGTTCTACTCTGTCCTACAGGTCGCTATCAGTCAGAATTGACTTGATGGTGGTGAATTTTTTGGAGCAGCAGTTAGTGATACGTTCTAAACAAGCCAGAATTACAAATGTGAATGAGACCTTCAAAAATGGACAGTGCCTGAAAATCCACAAATGAATCCAAACACATATAGTCAACTGATTTTCCTTTTCTTCTCTTTCTTGTTTTAATTTTTGTTGTGAACTGGGCTATTGTTTGAGAGAGTAAATCCATTTTCCACTCAGTCATTCATATACATTTTTGT